GTTCGGATGCAACTCATGGGAGGTCAAATTCAGAATGGGCGCTCGTATATCCGTGGTCGAAAGCCAGCGTAATCCTGCGCAGTCCCGCTGAATCCCGCTTTATCCGGCTCAATCCGGTCTGGTCGGGCTTAATCCTGGGCGAAACTTGGCCTCATGAGGCTGAATGGCCCCTTGATCGGGCTCAATGGCCCCCAATCGTTCTGACGAAGACCTCCAAGGAGTACCCTCCCAAAGTGGAGAGAGGGATCGGCCAATTAAACGATGCTCAGATCTCGACTCCGTGCCGATTCGGCCCTGCTCCGACGCCACGGACGGCCCCGAGCTGGCGCGGCCTCCCGACCAGGATGCTGTCCGGGATCCGGCCGGCACTCTTGCGGGGGGGGGGGCGGCGGCAGGACCTCGACGCTCCGATGAACTTCGGCGAGATCCAGTTCGTGCTCTCGGGCCCGATCAACGGGCTCTTCGAGCGTCTGTTCGAGACCGAGGCCTCCCGTCAATCAGTGGCGAGGCTTCCTGAGCTGCCTACGGTTGGCGTTGCCAAGATGACGTGCGGTGTGGCGCCGCTGGCCGGCTTACGACGCGCTGCCCCCCCTCCTCGGAGACAGCGTGCACCGATGAAGCCCTGGCAGGGGGATGGCGTGCATAGGGGGGGCCCTCGCGGGGGCATCGCCTCACAGGGATAGCGTGCTTTTCGGAGATCGATGCTGCACGCTATCTTTCCAACGCCAACCGTACGGAACCATGCAGGAGTGTCCTAAGAACAGTATGCGTTTTGCAGAACATGTTTGTTTGAACGTATCTGGCTGAGACAGTCTTGCTTACTTACGTAGATCGGTTTTATGATTTCAAAGCGATGATTTATTTTTTTCGAGCACTCGTGCGTTCTAATGACGTTTCGTGGTAGGCCGATCGAAGTTCCGGGACGGTCGGTCCCTGCTCGATCTCGGTGCAGGGGCCGCCGCGGGGGCGCCCTGAAATCCTCGCGTCGTGAAGAAAGAAAAGCACGTCGCCAGTGTTTGTGCAGCTTCCGGTGGCCTCTGGGGGCCCTTGCCGGGCTCCGGGACCGCCAACAAAACGACTCGGGATTGAAAGCTGGTCTCCAGCAGGTGGTCCAGACCTGTGGGGAGGTCGGATGTCTGGGAGGGGCGCCGCGGCGGGGGCCTGCCTGGACTCAGCGGTCACCCGGCGGATTGGACCAGACCCACCCGCCGCCCCTGGTGGGAATGGACTCTCTTGGGGACCTAGGTTTTCCGCGCGTTGCCAGAGGAGTCCAGACCCACAGTGTCGCCCGGCGGGCTGGTCGGCTCTCATGGCAGAGGGGGGGGGGGGGAGTTACACTTCTGGCGACTCGAGCAAGCGTCGCAGCAGGGTTCTGCCCCAGCTCCTTAGAAAACATGGTAGAAACCCGCAGTGAGCCGTTAAACATCGCACTGCTTGGGGATAACCGCTAAACATACATTATACATAGACGTTTTCGTTGTTATGTTTTTTTTTGCGTTGCTGTGGCTCTCTCTCTCTCTCTCTTTCTCTTCCTGCTGTTCCTGCCATGTCCTCCCACTTGCATCTGCTGCTCCTACTCGCTCCTCCTGCTCCTCTCTGGTTCCCCCTCGGGCCGCCCTCTCGGCGGAGGCCGCCCCCTCGCCGAGAGGAAGCGGGGGGCAGCACGGCGGGCAGCGAAGAGGAGGGAGGGCGACCACTGCCCCCTCGGCTCCCCTCCGCCTCCTCCCGACCCTTCTTCTCTCCTCCTCCTCTCCTTCCCTCATCTCCCGTGTATGTAACTCCTGCCCGTCGCACCCCGACACGTGTCGGTAGGGTGGGCTGGGCGTTCCGCGTGAGACGCCCTCACCATTTCTGATCCTGAAGTGCTAGCATTTGCAGCAGTTTCACGAATAGAGAGTGTAATTTTCAAACTGTGGCTCTCGCCTGTAGCGCCGCGCATATCTCTCTTGCAGATTCGCAAGAGCTCCAAGGATGGAGGACGGGTGGCTTTCAAAGTGCGGCTCTCGCCAATAGCCCCTCGCACATTTGGTTTAATAGCTTGGAAGTTTCATGGACGGATGGCAGGCCGTTTCCAACTTGTGCGTATCGCTTTTGCGCCGCGTACGTTCGGTTTATACATTGTACGAATTTCACATATGGAGGGCGGCCGTTTTCAACATGTGGTTCTCGCTGAGCGCCGCGCACATTCGTTTCAACAGTTTGCAAGGGCTTCACGGATGGAGACGGGTGGTTTTCATATTGTGATTCTCGCTTTCGCGCCGCGCACGGTCGTTGACGGGATGGAGGGCGGTTGGTTTTGAACATGTTCCTTTCGCTTTTGTGCCCTGCACATTCGTCTTCAATATTTGCAGGGGTTTCACGGGTGGAGGGCGGGTGGTTTTGCAACATGTGGTTCTCGTCCGCGCACATTCGTCTTCAACATGTGCAAGAGCCTTACGAATGGAGGGCGGTTCTTTTTCAGATTGCAGTTGTCGCCTTCGCGCCGCTCATTATATCAATTCAACGGTGTCTTCTGGTTGACTTCCCAGGACTGGTGTTGCGGCACGGTTGCAGAATGTCAGGGCGCAAGAGTCACGTTGATTCGCGGTGTGGAAGTCCCAGGAATGGTGGGCGCTCTGCCGCGACCCATGATCGCCAGGACGCAACAGTTGTAGTCCAAGCAGTGGCGTTCAAGCGCGACTGAGGATTTTCAGACGAATGTCTTCCAACGGGGGACTTTCAGCAGTGATAATACATTATTGTAGGGACCTTGAGAGGGAACTTGGAGGAGGGTTCATTGCAACATCACTGATGCGTCTTGGGTTTGCACTGGTCCTCCTCATCCTCAGTCTCCTCTCCTTCTCCTCTCCTTCCCCCCTCCATCTCCTCCTCTCCGCTCCTCCACCGTTCGCCCCCTCCCTCCTGAGGAGGATGAGGAGAAGGAGGAAGAGGAGCAGGAGCAGGAGCAGGAGGAGGAGAAGGATGAGGAGGAGGTGAATACTTGGAGGAGGAGGAGGAGGAGCCGGAGGAGGAGGAGGAGGAGGGCGGGGAAGGAGGAGGAAGACGGGGAAGGAGGAGGAGGATCTCCTCCTCCAACCACTCGCCTCTCCTCCTCTTCATCTCGGCCCTGAGTGGCCCGCCTCGCTGGTAGCGAGGCCGGGCCGCTCTTCCTCAACGGGGTGTTCTTCCTCACCCTGATGCGCATGGGCGTCTACTACGGCTCCACCTCAGGGGGAGAGGCTGGGGGAGGGGGTCGGACGGAGCCAGGACGTGGATACATCCGTTCCAGAGCTTTTCGGAACGCTCTCAGAGCGTACTGGAACGCTCGGAGAAGGCCGCGGCGCCCCAGATAACCTCAAGGGCCGCCCGATCTCAGAGTTTCTCGATTTATCCTCACCCGACTTTATCCTCGTCCCGCTTCGTCTCAGGGGGAGGGCAGAGTGCCTTGACCTCTTCGCGTCGCGGTGCCAGTCACGACTCGCGACGAATGGTCTTTGGTTGTTTTCGTCCTCTGGGGGCCCTCACCCCAACCCCGGGGGCCTTCCACAGGAATGGCTCGGGGGGAGAATCCTTCAGACCTTGGGGGAGCCAGGCTGCACACAAAATCACGACGTCGGATGTCTGGGGAGGGGCGAGGGGCGGTGTGAGCCGAGAGGGACGGAGGAGGAGGAGGAGGGCGAGGAAGAGGACGAGGGGTGAGGTGGTGATGTGGGGCTGGAGGGTACGGGGGTAGGGGATGGAGTCGGGCGGAGAGGCAATCAGGCGGGTGAGCGCAGGCGACAGGGGCAGGGGTGAGGGAGGTGGTCAAGCTAGCCAGCTCGAGCGAGTCAAGCATGGCATGCCCATTCCCACCCGCCCTCCCACAACATAAGAAACAGTGATGGCACAACTGGGGGCTGCGCGGGCATTTCAGTGCGAGTGGAGGATACCCCAGGACACCGCATTGACGTCCCCGCGGGATGTGCGCCGCGTCCCATTCCCGCCATGCATTTCGCATCGTCGACGACAAGACTGGCCATGTTGAAAGGAACAACGGACACGTTCCGCCCTCCCACAACATAAGAAACAATGCTGGCGCAACTGGGTGCTGGCGCGTAGTGGTAGTAGTAGTAGTAGTAGTAGTAGTAGTAGTAGTAGTAGTAGTAGTAGTAGTAGTAGTAGTAGTAGTAGTAGTAGTAGTAGTAGTAGTAGTAGTAGTAGTAGTAGTAGTAGTAGTAGTAGTAGTAGTAGTAGTAGTAGTAGTAGTAGTAGTAGTAGTAGTAGTAGTAGTGGTAGTAGTAGTAGTAGTAGTAGTAGTAGTAGTAGTAGTAGCAGCAGTAGTAGTAGTAGGAGTAGGAGTAGGAGTAGGAGTAGGAGTAGGAGTAGGAGTAGGAGTAGGAGTAGGAGTAGGAGTAGGAGTAGGAGTAGGAGTAGGAGTAGTAGTAGTAGTAGTAGTAGTAGTAGTAGTAGTAGTAGTAGTAGTAGTAGTAGTAAGTAGTAGTAGTAGTAGTAGTAGTAGTAGTAGTAGTAGTAGTAGTAGTAGTAGTAGTAGTAGTAGTAGTAGTAGTAGTAGTAGTAGTAGTAGTAGTAGTAGTAGTAGTAGTAGTAGTAGTAGTAGTAGTAGTAGTAGTAGTAGTAGTAGTAGTAGTAGTAGTAGTAGTAGTAGTAGTAGTAGTAGTAGTAGTAGTAGTAGTAGTAGTAGTAGTAGTAGTAGGTAGTAGTAGTAGTAGGTAGTAGGTAGTAGTAGTAGTAGTAGTAGTGGTAGTGGTAGTGGTAGTGGTAGTGGTAGTGGTAGTGGTAGTGGTAGTAGTAGTAGTAGTAGTAGTAGTAGTAGTAGTAGTAGTAGTAGTAGTAGTAGTAGTAGTAGTAGTAGTAGTAGTAGTAGTAGTAGTAGCCCTGAGTCGCCGAAAGATCGTTCCAAGACGCCCAAGATGGCCTCCAGACGGCCGTAGCGCCAAGAAACCGCGGGGAGCTTCAGGAGGCCCTCCAAGAGCCTGAAGAAGCAAAAACCTCCCAGGCATTCGTCACCCCAGGGCCTCCTGGAACGCCCCGGCGCCAAATGAATTGGCGAGCTAAAAACGTGCGCCGAGCCAAAGCTTGAGCGCAACTTGGAGAAAATTTCGCTCGGCGCCTAAGCGAGAAGGTCATTTCATTCACTTCGAGCGGGGGGGGAGGGGGGTGTGCCGCGCCCAATTCTTGCCGTGCCCTTTTCGGGGTGGACGACAAGAACAGCTGCGGGCAGGGAAAATCAGCATGGCATTATTTCTGACAAGTAAAATGGCCCCTCCCGCCTTGGGGTTGCCCCAGAAGTCCGCTCGCGATGTGCGCCGTGCCCCATTCCTGCCACGCATTTCGCATCGTCGACGAGAAGACAGGCCATGATGAAAGGAAAAACGGGATTTCTGTATTGTTTTTTTGCAGTCAGGATGGGAGGGCCCGCGGCCCGCATGGACGCCCGGGCGCGATGCGCGCCGCGTTCCATTCCTGACACATCTTTCGCACCGTCGGCGACAAGGCAAGCCATGCAGAGAGGAAACAACGGAGACTTTGTATTGATCTTTTACAGTCAGGATGGGCGGGCCCGGATTGACGGCCGCTCGCGATGTGCGCCGCGTCCCATATGTGCGCCGCGTCCCATGTTTGCCACATGTTCCGCACCGTCGGCGACAAGGCAGGCCATGCTGAGAGGAAAAACCCTGTATTGATTTTTTACAGTCAGGATGGGCGGGCCCAGCTTGACTGCTGCGCGCGATGTGCGCCGCGTCTCATTCCTGCCACGCTCTTCGCATCGTCGACGACAAGACGATGTTGAGAAGAAAAACTGTTTTTTTTTGTATTGAGTTTGAATAGTCCGGATGGGAGGTCCCGGGTCGGGTTGCTATCGGCCGGAATGCGAGGTAGGTGGGGGTATATAGGAATAAGGAACAGGGATCAGGGCAAAAAAGGAGGGGGAGGGGGATGGGCAAGCTAAGTGTGCTTGCGCCACATCTGGTATGTTTCCCTTTCGGTATGTTTCCCTTTCGGCCATTCCTCCCCATTGCGGCGTTTGTTTGTTTTGTATCCGCGGACGCATGTTCTAGCCGACCCGCAACTCCAAGAAAGACCTTTTCGCGTTATGCGCGACCGAACAGGGGAAACTGCGTACGTAGGTGGAGGAGGATGAGGCGGATGAGGATGAGGAGGCGGAGGCGGAGGCGGAGGAGGAGCAGGAGGAAGAGGAGGAGGAGGAAGAGGAGGAGGAGGAAGAGGAGGAGGAGGAGGAGGAGGAGGGTGAGCAGGACGGTGGGCAGGAAGAAGAAGAGGAGGAGGAGAAAGAGGAGGAGGAGGAGGAGGAGGACGACGACGACGGGGAAGATGGAGGACGAGGACGACCAGCAGAAACATAAATAACTGGAGTGGAAGGGAGGGGGATGAGCAGGAGGACCACGGGAAGGCGGAGGAGGTGAAACGAGGGAGGCGACAACAATGAACACTCGGATCTTGAACAAGGGCAGGCCGCCATTCTGAACAACGGGAGCACAGCGCCGATCTGAAAATGAGGCCCACGGAGCAGCGGGAATACGCAGCAATTCGGATTGTAACGCAAACGCAACCTTCTGTATACAAAAACAGCGCGGAGAGGGCCGAATGTCTTCCGCAGGGAGGCCGGGGTGAGGGGAGGGTAGTATTCATAATGTGCAGCTGTAGAGGGGGGAGGGGGTGGAAGGGGAGAGATGTGGGGATTGGGGAGGAAGGGCCAGGGACGGGAGGGGAGCAGGTCGGGGGCCAGGGACGGCGATTTTTTCACAACGCGGCTCCCGGGTCTGGACCCCTTCCCGAGATCAGCTTTTCACCCTGAGCTTTTTTGACCAACCATCTCCCGCCGTGATTCTTCCACGGCCTCAGGAGGGTTGTCAGGGACCAGGAGCTGGCGTGTTGTGGGAGGGGCGCGCTGCGCGCTGTCGTACGTAGAGGCCAGCGGTGATTCATTGGCTGACGCCGCGGAGTTTGCGGAACGCGCGCGAGTTCTGGGGAATTTTGGGGTTTCAGATTCTTGGGATTTCGTCGGGGGCGGTTGGCGGATCGCGGCTCTGCTCTTGGGCTTCTCTGGTCTCTCCTGGCAGCACTTTTGAGGCCTCCTTGGGGCCGTGTTGAGGCCCCTAGGGGCCTCTTTTGGGCCTCTCGGGGGCCTCGTGGGAGCCTCTTGGGGGCCTCTTGGCGCCTCCTCAGGTTTTTTCGGGGTCGAGTGCTCGAAGTGTCCATTCGGGTTCCCCCTCTGGGTCTCCTCTTGGGGCTTTCCTGGGGCCCTCCTGGGCCGTTTTGGAAGCTTCTGGGGCCGTCTTGGGGCCCTCTTGGGCCGTCTTGGAGCCCTCTTGGGGGCCTCTTGGGCTATCTTGGGTCGATCTTGAAGGCTTCTTGGGCCGTTGTGGGCATCGTGAAAACCCAAGAGGCGAATGTGCTAAACATGTACGTTTTCCCTCGGGAATGGGACGATTTTTGGTTCTGGAGGGCCTCTTGGAACGCCTCTTGGTGGTTTCTTGGGGCGTCTTGGGGGCTTCTGGGGCCGTCTGGAGGCAATCTTGGGCGCCTTGGAACGATCTTTCGGCGACTCGTACCCTCGTTGGACCGTCCGGGGGCCCTCTCGGCGGTCCGTTTTGCGGCTCCCTGCGGCTCCAAAGGTGCGGCTTCTGCCCCCCCCCCCCCCCCCCTCCAAACTGGCCGGACCGGGCTCCCGGGGGAGGGTTTTGGGAAGGGGGAAGCATCTCACTCGCCGTGACCCCAAGGGATCGGCGGATTTTTTTGGGGGGAGAATGTGGATTATCCTCACTTTGTCGTACCCTTCCGATCTTGCGGCTTGCACGCAGGTGCAAAAGAGTCCTTGTCGCTGTCTCAGAACGGGATATGTCATTCCGACTTGAGTGTTGATCCCTCCCCAGGCACACTGCCACCTTGCACCTTGCAGTCAGATGTTCGGTCTTGTTGTAGGCGTCTTCACGTTTGTTATCATCGATTCTATCTGGCGTGAGACAGGGAGAGACGGAAACTTTGGATAGTGTGGCTCTCAACGGGCTTGACCGCCAGAGAGTCGGTTGGGTGCAGCCCGGTTGGGTGCAGCCCTGCTCGTATCTTGCGCGAGCTAGAGGACCTGGGATCAGCGGATACGCTGCTGGCCAGGCGTGGGGTCACGCGCCAACGGCTCCGCGAGGTACGTCCCGCCTGGCCTTGACAGTCCCCCCCGAGCCCCAGTCTTACCAGCGTGTGCACCGATCCTGGGGCCAGGGACCCGGCCCTGCCGGGATGGGTGTCGGTGTGCACTTGGGCTGCGCATGGCTGCGGGGGTGCGCCAACTGCCTGCGGTGCGCCGCATCCTCCGACCCCGCGTGCCGTCCTTGCCTTCCCCGCCCCCCTCAGCTGAGGCTTGTCTTCCCTTCAGTCTGGGTCAGGGGCTGCGGCCCGCAGGCCAGAAGGCTTGTCGCCCTCCGCCCCCGTCCCCTGATCCTCGGGTGAACTGCGCCGACACCTGCACCTGGATCCCACGGCGCCTGTGAGCGCTCACCCACACTTTTGCGCCTGTGGGCCTCTGGATCGCGCAATGGGCCGGTGGTAACCAACGAGCGCTCACGGTGCTGTCAGCCTCTTCCTTTCCTTTCCGCAGTTGCACCTTCTGAATACGAACCTCCTCTCTCCCCTGCCTCCGTGCGGAAGATATTCGGGCCCTTCCGCGTATGTTTTTTTTGTGCGCACACGACATTTCAAACGTTTTCCCGATGCTTTTAACACTCTGATTGGTTTGGTTTGGCCCTTCAGAGTGGTGCTCCCGCTGCATCGTTGGTTTTTTTTTAAAGGATTCGCGTGCTGCTCCCGTCGTTTAAATGACGCTCTCATACGAGCGCGGGCCACTTTTCTGGGTCTGAGTTCCTCATTTTCCTCTTGCTCATCCTCCTGCTCATCCGCCACCTTCTCCTCCTCCTCCTCCTCCTCCTCCTCCTCCTCCTCCTCCTTCATTTCTTTTCCTTATAGCTGATTTTTCCCTTTCGCACCCCGAGGCCGGTTCTTAGGGCGAGCTGGGCATTTCGCCTGACATTTCTCACAATTTATGACCCTGAAGCTTAAAATTGACAACAGTTTTACACATGGAGGGCGGGTGGCTTTCAAAATGTGGCTCTCGCCTTAGCGCCGCGCACACTCAAGCAATTTTGCAAGAGTTTGACGTATTGAGAGTTGGTTGTTTTCAACATGTGGCTCTTACCTTAGCGCCGCACACACTCGTTCTTGACATTTGCAAGAGTTTCATGGATTGAGGGCGGGTGGCTTTCAAAATGTAGCTCACGCCTTAGCGCCGCACGCATTCGTTTTTTAAGTGCAAGAGTTTCGCGGATTGAGGGCGGGTGGTTTTCAACATGTGGCTCTCGCCTTAGCGCTGCACATATTCGTAATTTCGGCAAGAGTTTCACGGATTGAGGGCGGTTGGTTTTCAGAATGTGGTTGTCGCCTTCGCACCGCGCACATTCCTTGTTCAACATCATAAGAGTTGAAGAGGGTTCTTGTGATCAACATGCCAGCAATGGCGTTCTGGAAATATTCATGATTATGAGGATGCAACAGTTAGATGGATTCGCGGTGTTGAAGTCCCAGGAATGGCGTTCTGGCACGGATCAGGAGCGTCAAGACGCAACAGTCAGGATGATCCGTGGCGTTGGAGTTCCGATAATCATGTTTTGGCATGCTTCAGGGTCTTCAAACGGTTGTCTTCCAACGGGGCAGTCCCCTCAGAGGAAATGAACCGTTGTAGGGGCCTATGAAGAGGGAGCTTGGAGGAGGGGTTTATTCCAATATGATTCTGGGTTTGCACTGGTCCTCCTCTTCCTCCTCCTCCTCCTTCTCCTCCTCCCCCTCCTACGTATGCAGCTCTCCTTTTCCGGTTTCGCTTAACATGATGTGTTTTTCTTCAGGGCAATTCCAGGTCCGCTATAACACGCGTCCGCGGATAGAGAAGTCAACAGCCCGATGGAAAGGATGGGTGGGAGGGGTAGGATGTCAGATAAGGCGCGAGCGCACCAAGTTGCCCCTCCCACTTTCTTCCCTCCACCCCTCCCGTCCACGTCGCTGTTGAGACGGATGCTCGGGGGTAAGCTCCCGAAGTGCACCAGGTGCCTTCGGGTGGACGCTGGCGGCATCCAAGAATTTGGCCCGTGCGGACTGCCTTGGGTTCTCCTCGCCAAGGGCTCCCTCTGACAACTTCTGCTTGAGCGTCTCAGGGCCCATGTTTAAGCACTGTGCTTTTATATGAGCTCATCGTGGCATCGTGGCCAGCTGATCTCCTCCGCCGCCTCGAGGGTCCACTTCGATCCGATTTATCAGGTTCTTTTTCGAGCCAGCGCACACTTCGATTCGATCTGATTCCCTGATTCGGTACTGGCTGATCTTGCCTTCCCCGCACCGCCAGGCTTCTTGCAGCCCGCCTACCTCTGGCACTTCCAGGAGAGCGACCGGCGCCGTGGCGCGGCGCGGGTTGGCGCTCCCAGTGGCCTTCCTTCCCTCCTCACCTAATCTGTTGTGCCTGGCACTCTCTCCCTCTCTCTCCATCTGCCTTTGCCTCTGCCTCTACCTCTGCCTCTGCCTTTTACGCCTGTCTGTCTGTCTGTGTCTGTCTGTCTGTCTGTCTGTCTGTCTGTCTGTCTGTCTGTCTGTCTGTCTGTCTGTCTGTCTCTCTGTCTGTCTGTCTCTCTGTCTGTCTGTCTGTCTGTCTGTCTGTCTGTCTGTCTGTCTGTCTGTCCCTCTCTCTCTCTCCCTCTCTCTCTGCCCCCCGCCCCCTCCTCCCCCCCCTTCCCGTCCTGTCGCCACTGTTCTTCTCCCCGCTGCCCTCCTTCCCAATCCTCCTCTCCACAACCGCACAATACGAGTGCTGCTGTCTTCTCTACCCCGAAGACGTCCTGAGAGTCGCGCATTGATCTCACACCGGATTGCTCCGAGTTTGTTTTCAGATGTGTCTTTCCAATCCGACCATCGCTGGCCCTGGCAATCCCGTCGTTCATGCTGGCGCTCTCACCTCTGCGCGGGCCGATTTTCCGGATCCGAGTCCGTCGTTGTCGCTCCCCTTTTCGCTCATTCCACTCCAGTTCCTTCTGCTGCGGTTCGTCCGCGGCCTCATCCTTCATCCTTCTCCTTTTTCTTTGCTCATCCTCCTGCTCATCCGCCCTCTCCTCCTCAGATGTATACAGCTCCCCCGATCCAACAGCGCATCACGCGATGGAGTCTTTTTGGAGTTCCAGATCCGCTTTGCCACTCGTCGGTGGATAGAGAAACTCAGCGCAATGGGAAGGGACGGGTGGGAGGGGTAGAATGTCAGTCATGGCGCGAGCGCACCTAGCTTGTCTCTTCTCCCATCTCACTTCCCCCCCCCCCCGTTTCTCCCCTCTTCTCCCCCCACTTCTCCTGCCCTCCCCTCTCCCCCGCCTGTCCGACAGCCCCGTCCCGCCAGGAGCGCTACGGCCAGACCTGGACCGTCGGACACCACCTGTACGGCTGCAGCCTCCCGAACCCGCTGAAGAAGGCTCCCGCGACGACGGCGATGACGACGATGCCGCCGCCGCCGACGACGACGAGGCCACAGAGACGCTGGAGGGCCTTCCTCAGCTCGGTGGGCTGGAGGCCGTCCGTGTCTGTCGTGGATGCATGCGGTGCACCTCTTCGGAGGCGACGGACACAACCGGATCGCATGCTGGTGCGACACGATCAGCCCCTGCAGCATCGGGGGCCTTGGCGCAGGCCGCCCTCCTCGCGAGGCTGGAAGCCTCGGCTGGGGCGCGTGGAGCGCGGTCCTTCGTGGGTGCAGCGGGAGTAGCACGCGGGCGGTGGCCGGCCAGGAGACGAGGGGACCCCGTCGGTGGCTACCAGACAAGCGTCCCGTCTCGCCAAGCCAGATAGCAGGGGGCTCGGTTGCCAGGCACGGTGTCGCGAGGTTCACTTGAGCCGGGACGAGGGAGGGGGAGAGAGAGAGAGAGAGAGAGACGCACACACACACACACACACAGCGAGAGAGAGAGAGAGACAGGTACAAAGGTCTCTCCCCTCGCTCTCTCTGCATCTCTCTCTACACAGGTGTGTATACATACAGAGAAAGAGAACACAAACAAACAAGGGGAGGAAGCCAGGGAGACCAGGTGCAAAATAAGGGTGGAGGGGAGGAGGCTGGGGAGGGAAGGCGGGGAAAGAGTAGGGGGAGGATCGAAGACGAGGATGAAGAGGATAAGGAGGACCCTCTTCGCCTTCTCCTTATTCATCCTTCCTGCTGCGTCCTTCCTTTTTCGTTTGTGTTTACTGGGGCCTTTCGCGGCGCAGGGACGGTACACAGGGCTGATATCGGTTTAGTAGTCTCAAAGCCGCATGTCGTAGCATTACGTAAGCGATCTACACAGATGAATTGGCAGTGGTACTTGGTTGCACGTGTCCTTTCGACTCCCTGCCTGCCCAATGCCAGGTCAAAGGGATCAACACATCTATTGGGTTGCAGGCGCCCCCCCTCTTCCCTCCCATGCCCCTGCTCCCGCCAGGGCCAGTGAGAGACCGCGGCCGGCTTGGGGCGCCGCGGTGCTGGGCCTGCGGTTCCAGCTCTTGGGCGGGACGGTACCCTCGGAAGGACACACGAAGAGGGATGGCTGGATAGAGGGAAGGAGGGAGTAAGGGAGGGAGGGAGAGAGGGAGGGAGGGAGGGCGGGATGGGGGAGGAGGAGGAGCAGGAGTAAGAGGAGGAGGAGGAGGAGGAGGAGGAGGAGGAGGAGGAGGAGGAGGAGAGAGGAGGAGGAGGAGGAGGAGGAGGAGGAGGGGAGGAGGAGGATGAGGAGGAGGAGGGGGAGGGGGAGGAGGAGGAGGAGGAGGAGGAGGAGGAGGAGGAGGACGAGAGGAGGAAGGAGGAGAGGAGGGAGGGATGAGGAGGAGGAGGAGAGGAGGAGGAGGAGGAGGAGGAGGAGGAGGAGGAGGAGGATTCCCGCGAGATTCCCCTCTGCCGCAGGCAGTCTCTTCCTTCCGACGCGGCTCCCCGCTGCGCGGCGCGCGCCGCGCGCGGGCCAACCGCTCTAGGGGGCCGCGCCCCTGAGGGCCGCCCCCTTCTCCACGCGCGTCTTGCGGAGGCGCGTGGAGCAAGGCGGCCGAGCGCGTCCTCTGTGGTGTCCTCGCTCCACCCCCGAGATCCTCAGCACCTCGCGAGGCACCCTCGGGGAGGCCTCCCCGAGCACCCCTCGCGGCATGCCTTCCAAGGAAGGTGGCAGGACTAGGCCCCTCCAATCCAGCGCGGCCGTGGGCGTCGCGATGGTGTTGGGCGGCGTGGTGCTGCTGGTCGTCTTTGTCGTGCTGGTCTCGGTGGTGCTCGGTGGCGTGGTGCAGCTTGGCGTGTTGTTGCTGGTCGCCGTCGTGCTGTTCTTCGATCGGTCGGCTGGCGGCGTAGAGGAGCCCGCGGACCCATTGCCTGCGGCGTTCCTCGTCAATGCAAGATACAGTCGCTTCGGCTGTCGTGGGCCGTTGAGGTTGTTGCACACAGGCTTGCTGCTCGTCGCATTGGAGAGGTGGCTGCTCGATCAGCTTGTCCTGGTGGTGGTAGGGCTGCTGTGGAGCGGTCGGGGAGCGCGGGCGAGGGCCTTTAAATGCATCTCCTCGCTGACGTCCCCTGACCGCCATTTCTGGTGGACGCGGGGAGTACTCTTCCTCCCCCTCCACGCCGTTGCAGCAAACGGCTTGCGTCCTTGGTGGTGTCTGTGGGGGTTCGTTGGCCTGCATCTCTGGTGGCTCGTGGCTGCCGTCGCTGGGCGTTGTGCCGGTTTGGTCGCTGTCAGGTGCTGGATCGCGTCGCTCCTGGCTGGTGGCTGTGCTGGTTTCGTCGTGTCCGTCCTGGTCGTGGTCGGCGAGCTCTGTCCATTTCAGGAGCTTGTAGTGTAAGCTGCGGTATCCAGTGCGGCGTGTGCATTCCGTGCGCATCTTCTCCGAAACATACTCGGTGGTGGAGGCACCGCAGTGGCGGCATACCCAGCGGGATTCCTCTCGGATGAACATCAGCTCGTGGCTGTCGTGAGCCGTGCGTCCGTGCTGGGTGATAGCTCGTCCTTGTCGCGGTGGTGGTCCTGTGCATTGTTGTTGGAACCAATCTCGTGTTGCTGCGACGCTGGTGTCTCGTCCGACACGCTGTGTGCAGCAGGCGCACACCCAACCCTTTCCCCGTCGGGGCCAGGCCAGGTTGTGGGTGGTAGGTGGGCGCTTGCCAACTGGGCGTGGTGGTCCATCTGCGAAATAATCCCGTCTTCGTCTGAGTTGCTTGCGGTACTCTTGCTGCTGAGCTCGTCGTGCAGCGCGTACTTCGTGTGCTTCTGATGGGCGTCTGTCGATGGCGTCAATAGTGGCGGCGGTAATGCGCTTGCGGACGAGGGCGGCGGTGGCGGTGACCCACTGGTAGCAACCGAGCTGGCCCGCGTCCAGTTGGTGCTCTGCGGCGGCTTGCTCTGCAAGACGATCCACTTGTGCGTTTCCAGACCATGCATGTAGTGGGAAACCTCGGCCTTGCGCTTCCTCCCAGGTCTGATGGCTGTTGATGTGGTGGGCTTCGATGTGAGCTGGCCCTTGCTCGTCGCGGTGCGCAAGCTCTTTGCCGATGGTCTCCCAGAGGTCGTCGTTGCTGCCCATGTGGGGCTGTAGTTGGTGCCGTCGGTCTCGCCAGCCCTTGACTACGATCTCGCTGTCCTTCCAGAAGTGCATGGCGCCAGTGGTGTGCTTGATCGCATCCAGTAGTGCCCAGAGTTCTGCCCGATTGTTCGTTTGTCGTCGGGAGGGTAATGGACCGTATCGTGCTGCCGTAACATTGAAGCCGCCGTCGTGGGTGCTGCCACGTCTTAGCCGCGCCCATCCGCATCTTCGGTAACGCCAGTAACGCCAGTCGGGGGAGTGCTCCCCGCCTGAGCCGTCGCTGTATATTACCACGGGCGTCCCGTCGTTGGTGCAGATCTTGTCGGCTTGGGTGAGCTCGCCCATGTTGGATGCTGACTCGGCTGTGTCGCAATCTGGTGGTACTGACCAATCTCGTGGGGTGATGCCTCTGAGCCAGAAGGCTGGGGTGGTTTGGTGTCCCGCCGCAGCGCGGGCTTGCAGCCTGTCGGTTTTGTCGTAGATGTCGTCGTCTCCTCGGCAGCTGCATCGTTCCCAGATGCGGTGGTAGTCGGTGTCTGGCTGCCCGCATTCGCATAGGTGGTTGCCATGGGCGAAAGTCGTCTGCTGCCTAGTGCGGGTCCACGTTCCCGCGCAGGCAGCGGTGAGGAGTGCTCCGTATTCGCGGTGCTTGTCGTGTGTTCGGAGCCATTGCAGGTGTCGCTTGAGCTCTGTGGTGTCAGCGCCGTTGTGCTCGAGGCCTCCGCCGTGGTAGTGGGTCGCTGCTGTCCTCCAGAGCTGCTGCCTTACGTCGTGCATGATGGCGTCTAGGATGTCTTTGGTGTCTTGGGCGTCCTCGTGGGAACTTCCAGTCGTTGCCTGCGCTGTCGATCCAGTGGTCTGGTCCGCGGGAGTCCCAGCCGAGCTCCCACAGCGCCAAGATGATGGCTGCGATGGGGCCGCGTCTCTGATTCCAGCGGCAGTGAGCAGGTACCTTGATCAGTCGGAAGTAGATTCTGGGCCAGGCGCGTCTGATTTGCGCACGCAGATCTGGGCTGTGCGTCCAGCATCCGAACCAGTTGGAGAACTGCGTGCTCGCGAAGGTGTAGGCGGGGTCGGTCCCTTCCAGGTCCAGGAATGTGGTGAGGCAGCGTCCAGGCCAAGGGCGACGTAGTGCTTGGGCGTATTGGCGTCGTGCTGCACGTAGCGCAGTGGGGGCCAGGCCGTGGAAGGCGACGCCGTACTTCGCGGAGGCCATCGCGCCCTGGTTCACCAGGCTGGCTTTGGTGGAGGTGCGGAGTCGCCGTAGTTTGCCACAGACTGCGCGTAGGCGTCGGCGTGCTGCTGCCCATCTTGTTGAGTGTGTGGAGCGTCTAGTAGTACCGCGTGCTGCGCGATCTGCGCCCAGGTCTCGCCCTTCTGTGGCTGCGAGGAGGAGGAGGACGAGGAGGAGAAGGAGGATGAGGCGGCGGAGGCGGAGGCGGAGGCGGAGGCGGAGGCGGAGGCGGAGGCGGAGGCGGAGGCGGAGGGCGGAGGGCGGAGGGCGGAGGGCGGAGGAAGGAGGAAGGAGGAAGGAGGAAGGAGGAAGGAGGGAGGAGGGAGGAGGGAGGAGGGAGGAGGGAGGAGGGAGGAGGGAAGAGGGAGGGAGGAGGGAGGAGGGGGGGTTGGTTGGTTGGTTGGTGTCCCCCCGGCGGGGCGGCATTCGGAACCCCCGGGCGTGGGTTCCTTTTAGCGGGGGGCCGCGAGAGCGCGGGAGGGCAAACGCAAGCGGCCCTGCAACGACCCGGCGGGGGCCCTCTGCTGCGACCATCGTCCTGGACCAGCCCAGCACACCCCACCCCAGCCCGGCCCAGTCCGGTCGACATCGACGACGACGACAACGACGACGACCACGACGACGACGACGACGACGACGACGACGACGACGACGACGACGACGACGACGACGACGACGACGACGACGACGACGACGACAACTGGGACCGAGAGGGAGGGAGGGAGGGAGGGAGGACCGTGCGGAAGCGGCTAGATGGGCGACCTGCCTGACCGCCTGGAGGGGGGGAGTACCAAGCGGGGCCGCCGGTCCGTGGAACGGATGCCCAAGCGCTTCGGGCTCTGCCCGACTCCCCAGCCGCTGCGCTAGTCAGCGCACGGCGAGGGGACGCAAGTACGAGACTCCGGCAATGGAGGGGAGGAGGGAGCCGCCCCAGGAGAAGAGACGTCCCAACCTGAGCCCACGCCCAAGCCCGGCCCAACCCACGCATCGCAGCACAATTGCTGGAGGCAGGGAGTGCGGGAGGGGGGACCAAGAGGGAGGCCTGGGAGCATATTTTCTCTCACCCGTGCTCGCTGGCCCCCCAGAAGGCTGCCGCCGCCTCCTCGAGCCTCCGCGCCAGGGACGCAACAGGGCATCCATGAGCACGACTCGCCGAACCTGGGGAGGGGTCCAATCTTTGGGCCATCGCCGCTACGGACCTCGAGGGGGGAGGGGGGGGGGGCAGGGGCGGGGGAGGGAGGGGGAGGGAGACCGCCAGCCCAGGCCCATCCCGTCACACCCCAGCACCGCCAGAGGAGAGCGGAGAGGGAGGGAGGGAGGGAGGGAAGACGGGAGGGGGGGGGGGAGGGGGACCCCGGCCCAGAAGGGCCCACCCCGCCAGAGAAGAGGCCCACGGGGCGCTCGAAAAAAACGGCCCGGAAGGGCCCCAGAAAACCCCCCCAAACGCCTGAAAATGGTACACTGACCCCCCCCCCCTCAGAGTACCAAGGGGGCCCCGGTACACCGAGGGGGGGGGGTCGATGTCCCATGTTGGTCGTTTGTGGTGGGTCCAAGCCCCCCTCACGGAGGGCCCGGGCCCCCCCGCCGACCGCGCCAGAAACACCTCGGAACCGCCCCACAGGAGCCCCGCGACCAGGCGTCCTATAAGTGTACCGATCC